TGTCAGCGAGTTGTGTTGCATGCCTTTCAGACATTTGCTGTGTGCTGCTCGGGAGAGTGCTGTCATATGGTGGTAGCGGGAGGCGTCGCAGTAGGGATTTGAGAACGATAAATCATTTTTAAAAAGTAAATGCCAGAGAATGTTCCTTTAGGTAATAATAAAGATTCCGATGTCCGGTTCTGTTTCATGTGTTTTATTTAAAATTAAAAAGGTATAGATGGGTCACCCCTTAAAAAGCTTTATGGTGAATGTTTTGAAAAATTTAAAAAAAATTCATTGCTTCATTATTAGTTGCAAAATATATTTAATGATAGAATTTAACGATATTGTTATCGATATGTTTAGAAACTCGTATCAGGTTAAGGTTATGACAATCGATGATACATAAATTTAATATACATTTTTTGTATTTAGATCTTTCTTATACATATGTACATATTTCTTTATTTTCTCGGAATCTCCCTTAGCATTCCAATCATACTCAACACTAACCACCGATGACATGTTACTGGAAGTTGACCAAACCTCTAAAGTGAATTGTTACTATTTACTATCCTATGGCCTATCGCTCACAATTGTTGCCATTTCGTTGGTCATTAATCCCAATACTTATACACAAAATGATTTTTGTGTGCTAATGGAGGCAAATACGCTTTTCTATTCGAGCTTTGTGGCGCCTGTTTTGCTATTTTTACTGGTAAGTTGGCACTGCCCTTGGCGTTAAGAATGACCTACAATAATTTGGTAATGTCATTTAAGGGCGCCATCGGCTACACATTCCTGTCGTGGGTGATTATGTGCCGCAAGAGTCATACAACACTGAAAAATAAGGAACACACGCGGCTTGCCAATGTGCGGTACGTATAAGAAGTGTTTTGCTTTTTAGAAAAAAGTAAATTGTATATTGTAGAATTTTTCGCAAACTCGAGACCCGATATTTTGAATTATTATTTAATAAGACTACTTATCGTTAAGCCTGGTCGACGGAAATTTCTACAATAAATTAATTAAAGGCCAAGATCCAAAACATATAAATAAAAAGCGTGGAAATAGAATAAATACCATATTGATAAATTTATCGATGTTTATTTCAATTGGGTTGTTAACACTTCGCTGGTTATCAGGTTATGTGGTTATATTTTCTATTCACTTTACAACAATAACACACTACAGAATAATAATTTTTAACCAGATAACCTGATAACCAGGCAAGTGTGAACAACCCAAATATATTTATTGTCATTGTTACCAAGAAATCGTTATCAAA